GAGTCTTTGGAAGAGCTGAAGGCCCTCACCCCTTTGACCCTTCCCAGATGTCCTCGTTCCCGTCCCTCAGTGCCCCATCTTGCTCAGTCAGTGGCCAAACTTGGATTTGGACAGTGGCAACGCCGCATGGGTGTGGATCCAGCCTTGACTGCAGAATGACAAAGCCCATCCATCATTTCTAGCTGTGCTCTTTAGCAACGACAAAGTAAAGATGCCAAGGGCTAGTTGCTCTCCTTCCTGGCCTCTGTCCCCGTAATGGTGGGTCCAAACCCGTTCCGCCGCTGCCCTCCTTTACTCACAGCTTCTTGGGTGCCGCTCAGCAAGCACGTCGGTGAAGTCTCATCCTTTTGGGACCTTTGATTTGTCCTGTGGGTTCCTAGGTGGCACATAAAATGAACTTCTTCACACTGCAAACCCCGGGTTCAAGTTTTATGCCTCAGGATAAGGAATTCTCAGCGCCCCCTGCCTCCAGAGATGCCACAGTGAGTCTCCGGTGTTTTTGGAAGACCTGCGCTATGCAACCGCCCCATTTGTGCATATGATTCCTGTTGCAATCAGAGTTGATGAGAACAGATTGTAGAATTGCTCAAATGCCAGGGAGGTCTTGGCTCGGAACTACAGGTGTGCTGCGAACTTCGCACACCTGTTGGGGTTTGTGGTCACCAGCTCTGTCTGCTTTGGCCCCAAACTGACCCGCCCCAGCCACCTCAACCCCTACCCTTTTTTTTTTTTTAATCTTATCAAGTTTTATTTATTTATTTATTTACGTTTTTGGAAATCCATCTGATTTTTTGTCTTGGTTTTTTAGTTTTTTTAAATTTTATTTTAAATACATTTGTCTCCATGTTCCCGCCACCACTTCCCCCTGCCCCACCCACCCCCACCTCCAATCCTCAATCCTTCCCCGCTTTGGCTTGGCCCACAGGTCCTTTATAGGTGTTCCTTGATTGCGTCTTCCCCTTCTTTTCCCCATTACCGCCCTCCCTCATTCCCTCTCGTTACTGTCGGTTTGTTTTTTCTTTCAATGTTGCTGGTTATATTTTTCTTGCTTGTTTGTTTTGTTGATTAGGTTCCACCTGTAGGTGAGATCATATGGTATTTGTCTTTCACCCTTTGGCTTATTTCATTTAGGGTAACGCTCTCCAGTTCCATCCATGCTGTCGCAAAAGGGAGTAGCTCTTTCTTTCTGCTGCGTAGTATCCCATTGTGTAAATGTACCTTAGGTTTTTGATCCACTCATTTACTGATGGACACTTAGGTTGCTTTCAGCACTTGGCTATTGTAAATTGTGCTGCTATGAACATTGGGGTGCACAGGTTTTTTGAATTGGTGTTTTGGGATTCTTAGGGTATAATCTCAGCAGTAGAATTGCTGGGTCAAAAGGCAGTTCCATTTTTAGCTTTTTGAGGAAATTCCACACTGCTTTCCACAGTGGCTGCACCAGTCTGCATTCCCACCAATAGCACACTAGGGTTCCCTTTTCTCTACAACCTCGCCAGGACTTGTTTGTTGATTTGTTTATGATGGCCATTCTGACCGGTGTGAAGTGGTATCTCATTGTGGTTTTAATTTGCATCTCTCTGATGGCTAGCGATGCTGAGCATCCTTTTAAATGTCTCTGGGCCCTGTGTATGTCTTTTTTGGAGAAGGGTCTGTTCAGGTCCTTTGCCCATTTTTTAATTGGATTATTTGTCTTCTTGGAGTGGAGTCATGTGAGTTCTTTATATATTTTGGAGATCGAACCCTTGTCCAAGGTAGCATTGGCAACTATATTTTCCCATACAGTTGGTTCCCTTTTTATTTTGCTGATGTTTTCCTTAGCCATGCAGAAGCTTCTTATTTTGATGAAGTCCCATTTGTTTATTTGTTTATTCTTTCTTTTATGTCCCTTGCTCTAGGGGACCTATCAGTGAATATATTGCTGTGTGGAATATCTGAGAGTTTCCTGCCCATATTCTCCTCTAGGACTTTTATGGTATCACGACTTATATTTAAGTCTCTTATCCACCTTGAGTTTGTTTTCGTGTATGGTGTATGTTGGTGGTTGAATTTCAATTTTTTGCATGTAGTTGTCCAGCTTTCCCAACACCATTTGTTGAAGAGGCTATTTTTACCCTGTTTTATGTTTCTGCTCCGTCTGCCAGTATTAATTGACCATAGAGACATGGGTTTATTTCTGGGCTCTCTATTCTTTTCCATTGATTTATGTGTCTGTTCTTATGCCAGTACCAGACTGTTTTGATTACAGTGGCCTTGTAGTATAGTTTGATGTCAGGGATTGTGATCCCTCCTACTTTGTTCTTCTTTCTCAAAATTTCTGCAGCTCTTCAGGGTCATTTATGGTTCCATATAAATTTTTGAAATTTTTGTGCTATATCTGTGAAATACATCATTGGTATATTAATAGGGATTGCATTGAATCTATAAATTGCTTTGGGTAGTATGGAAATTTTGATTATGTTAATTCTTCCAATCCAAGAACACGGTATATGCTTCCATTTATTTGTGTCTTCCTTAACTTCTTCCTCCAGTGTCGTGTAGTTTTCTGAGTACCTGCCCTCTCTTTCCGTGTCACCTGTGGCCTCATAGACTAATATTTGTTTGGTCTTTGTGCCCAGTTCCTGCCACATAGCTCAGAAAATCATTAGCATTTCCCAAGTGACAAGAATGATAAGAGAGACTCTCTAGTCATTTTGTTCTGATAAGGAGACTCTCTAGATAAGCTTCCAAATGGGGTCCTCCCACCGGAAACAGTAAGTCTTGGTTAGAAGGCTGGAATTTGCAGCACCACCCCTCATCCTCGGGGAAGGGAGTGGGACGGAAGGTCGGGCTCATCCCCGAGGGTCAATGATTTGTTTTCCTGGTCAGGGCACATGCCTGGTTGGGGCGCATACGAGAGGCAACTGATCGATGTTTCTCTCACATGTTGGTGTTTCTCTCCCTCTTTCTCCCTCCCTTCCCCTCTATCTTAAAAAAAAAAAAAAAAAGAAAAGAAATATTAAAGAAAAAAAGTTACTCTTAAATGGCACCTAACATAAAAAGTTTCACTTGGTTCAGAGAGCTTCTGGGTTGGTGAGCACATGGAGGCGCCAGGATCAGGGCGCCAGGTGGGAGCATGGAAGCTCCAACCCTTCTCCTATCCCTGACCCCGTGCATCTCCTCCACCTGGCTGTCCCTGCACTCAACTGTCAGCAGAGGAACATCCAAACCTTAATGACAGGATCATTTTTTTTTGGTATTCTTTCTTGCAGCTTCCCCAAATCTGCAGAAAGCTCAGGTTTGCTTATTTCTTGATCAGCCAACAGCCAGAAGAAGAGATGCATAGGGCGAGGTTGGAACAAAGAGCTTCTGTTGTCTTGGGAGCTTGGGGCCTAGGCATGCTGGTACGGAAAGGCATTCTGATTCTCCTACCTGGACACTGGTGGTCGACGTTTCCCTCAAGCGCACCTACCTCGATAAAACCCTCCACGCTGGGGTTCAGAGAGCCCCTGAGCTGGCATGCACACCCATGAGCCGGGAGGTCGCACACTGAGCTCCACAGGGACAGAAGTTCCTGAGCTCAGGACCCTTCTGGACCAACACCCTATGTACCTCTTCTGACCGGGCGTCACCATTATAAATGTCAGTAAAGTGCCCTCCTGAGTTCCGTGATTCATTCTAGCAATTATCAAATCTGAAGAGGGGGTCATGGGAACTCCCGGTTTACAGCTGGTCAGTTAGAGTGTGAATGGCCCAGGCTTGCAACTGGCATCTGAAGTCGGGGGGAGTCTCGTAAAACTGAGCTTTTTAACCTGCGGGGTGCGTTATTCAGTCCAAGTAGATGGTGTCAGGATTGAGTTGAATTGTTGGACACCCAGTTGGCGTCAGGAGAGGAGAAAAAAACCTTCTCATGTGCCAACTGCCTTTAGAGCCTTTTACTTTTTTAAAAAAGATTTTGTTTACTCCTTTAGAGAGAAGGGAAGGGAGGGAGAAAGAGAGGGAGAGAAACATCCGTGTGAGAGAGAAACATTGATCGGTTGTCTTTCGTATGCCCCCAGCTGGGGGCTTGGCCCACACAACCCAGGCATGTGCCCTGACTGGGAATAAAATCAACAACCTGTCGGTTCTCAGGCTGGCACTCAATCCACTGAGCCACACCAGCCAGGGCTAGAGCCTTTTAGGAAAAACTCTCAAGAGAAAGAATTGGCCAACTCATCCTACAGAGGCAGCCTATACTTGCCATAGACCGTAGCCAATGAATGGAGAAGCCACCGTGGAGCCAGCCAGGCAACCGTCTCGAGCTCAGTCTGCTGTGCCCAGGAGAGTAGGTGGCTGAGTTTTTGATGGGCTGGGCAATTTCCCTTCAAAGGGGATCTACACAGGCAGGGCATGCAAAGATGGGCATCTCTAGAAACCTGACCCCCAGTCAACAGGAGGTTCATACACTTGTATGCGCCATATACAGACACCCACATGTGTATCACTCACAATTAAACATACACTAAAGATGCACATGATATATGCCCACTCATATGTATATATACACTCACATATACACACAAGCCACATGTTCCCAACCACCTGCACACTATCTACGAGTATACTACACACCCATATGTACCCATGTACACAATATAGACACATCCATACAATGTACACATGTCCATTTGTACACAAATACATATACATCATGTATAGATACTCATATGCACACACTATATATGAGACACACACAGGCCTGCCATATCATGCATGTACCATGTGTACACACACAATACATGCATATCTTCATATGTAAGCATACACACATGAACCTGGTGCCACCACACCCACACAACACTAAGGAGAAACCTGCATACATGTATCTGAGTACTCACGTTCATTTGCATGTACACAAAAAGTAAACCTACACTCACATGCACCTGCACAACGTCTGCACGCACAGCTGCGCTGCCGGTGCAAGCACCGCCCCAGGACCTCCCATCCCGCTAACGCTCCCTGCTCTCCCTCCCCCGACAGCCATGCCCAGCGTTCAGGGGCCTTTCTTCTTCCTCTTTGTCTTCACGGCTTCCATCATATTTCACCTTCAGCAGCGACTAGTGAAGATTCAACCCATTTGGGAGGTACAGGTCCTGGAACAAGAGGTGACCAAGAACACCACGAGCCCCCCGCCCAGGGGTATGTGGACCATCAATGCGATAGGCCGCCTGGGGAACCAAATGGGCGAGTACGCCACCCTCTACGCCCTGGCCAAGATGAACGGCCGGCCGGCCTTCATCCCGGCGCAGATGCACAGCACGCTCGCCCCCATCTTCAGAATCACCCTCCCGGTCCTGCACGACACCACGGCCAGGAGGATCCCCTGGCGGAACTACCCCCTGAACGACTGGATGGAGGAGCAGTACGGCCACATCCCCGGGGAGTACGTGCGCCTCACCGGCTACCCCTGCTCCTGGACCTTCTACCACCACCTGCGCCCCGAGATCCTCCGGGAGTTCACCCTGCACGACCACGTGCGCGAGGAGGCGCAGAGGTTCCTGCGGGGTCTGCAGGTGAACGGGGCCCCGCCGAGCACCTTCGTGGGCGTCCACGTGCGCCGGGGGGACTACGTCCACGTCATGCCGCAGGTGTGGAAGGGCGTGGTGGCCGACCGGGGCTACCTGCAACAGGCCCTGGCCTGGTTCCGGGCCCGCTACCGCTCCCCCATCTTTGTGGTCACCAGCAACGGCATGGCCTGGTGCCGGGAGAACATCGACGCCTCCCGGGGCGATGTGGTATTTGCTGGCGACGGTGCTGAGGGTGCCCCCGGGAAGGACTTTGCGTTGCTCACTCAGTGCAACCACACCATCATGACCATTGGGACCTTTGGGATCTGGGCCGCCTACCTCGCGGGCGGAGTGACCATCTACCTCGCCAATTATACCCTCCCAGACTCTCCCTTCCTCAAAGTCTTTAAGCCAGAGGCAGCCTTCCTGCCAGAGTGGATTGGCATTGCCGCAGACCTGTCCCCACTACTCAAGCACTGACAGTAGCCTGTCCTTGGCAGCCCCTTCTCCTTTTCCTTCTCCCCCAAGATCCATTTTGAGGCATAAAGAGCACACTGGTACCAGGACCCTTCCCTCTTGCATCAGAAAGCTCCTGGAGGCGAGCAACAGAAATCCCAAGGAACTTGTTAAATTAACGTGGCTCAGTGAGTGGATTGAGTGCCGGTCTGCAAACCAAAAGGTCGCGGGTTCAATTCCCAGTCAGGTCACACGCCTGGGTTGTGGGCCAGGTCCCCAGCCGGGGGTGTGCAAGAGCAACCGATGAATGTATCTCTCGCACACCGATGTTTCTCTCTCTCTCTTTCTCCCTCCCTTTCCCCTCTCCAAAATTAAATAAAATCTTTTAAAAAACACATATTTATGTGACCAGAGGTCGCACACTTCCAAGGTTAGTTAACTCAGCAGCTCAACCGTGTCATCAGTGACCCCAGTTCTATCCATCTTGTTGAGCTGCTATTATTTCTTCTGGGACTGGCTCCCTCATGGTCCCAAGAGGGCTGCCACATCCCCAGGTGTCACATGCAGACCACCTCTTCCCAACGCATCAAAAAGAGGTTCATCCTCATCTTGGGTCCCTTTTGAAGAGGGAAACCTTCCAAAGCCCTCCGGCCACTGCCCCTCATATCTCATTGACCAGAAGCGGGTGGCAGGGCCACGTGACCCATTGCAGGACAAGATGAAGGAAACTCTGGGATTGGCTCAGCGTTGCTCCCATAAATCTTTGCCCCCTGCAGCTGAGGAGTCAATCTGCCTCCCATGACGGACGGGGAGGCTCGCAGAAAGGAAGCTGGGGTGCTCTTACCAAGGAAGGGGTAAGGAACAGGTCTGCTCCCTAAGCCATGTGTCCCTGGGCCCGTGCCCACACAGAGGGACCCTTTTTTTTCGAGCTGGCCCTTTCAGCGGGGTAGCCTTTCTTCCAGTTTTCACAAGAGTAACATATCGGCTCATGGCTGGCGGGCATCCAAGACCGGGGAGCTGAGCGCCAAGGATTATTGTTGGGAACTCAGGCGATCAGCATGGCTCAAAAAACTTGAGAGTTCATTCATTTTTTCAGTAAATGTTTGTGGTGGTGAACCTGACAGGGTCTCCGCTCTCAGAGCTGTGTTAACAAAACATAGTGGCTTAAAATGACAGCCATTTATTATTTCCCACAACCCTGTGGGCCAGCTGGGTGGTTCTTGGCTCCACGCAATGTTGGCGGAGGCCTGTCACGCAGCTGCATTTATGCGGAGCTCAGCTGAAGCATCACGAACTCCTCTGTGTCACCTGTCCTGAAGGATAGCTTGGTCTTCCTCACAACATGGCTTTCAGCTTGTTTGCTGCAGCACTCACTCTTGGGGCTGTCATCACCATCACGGAAGACAGCCAACTATCTGAAGCCGCCATACTGTGAGGAAGCCCAACAATACCAAGAGGCCACATGTAGGTGTTCTGATTAGCAGTATTAGCGGAGGCCATGTTTGGTTCCATTGAAAGATAATGGAAGAATGTAAGGATTGGGAAGATGCTCCAAAAGTGAGTACCTAGGAAAAAAACATGTGTCACTCAAACTGCAATGACTGAAGCAAGTCATGTGAAATTGGGTCATGCCCAGTTTCAAAGAGGGCAACCCATCCATGTGCCCCACAATATATATTTATGAACAGCACAAATGACTACCTCACATCTCCTGACTGGCTTCCCAGTCTCTGGGTGGTCCTCTTGGGGCCCCTTTCTTTTGGTTTTATACGCACAGAATGAGGTGCCACCATACTTCCTAGGCTAACAGGGCTGTGCTTCAGTAACTCTTTAAGTACTGCCTTTTCAAATTTCCAGTCTTAGTTTATACAGATCAAATGGGTGATCACTGAACCAGGCTTTGCTATTAAAAAAATAATAAATCTGATACAAATTTGTTCATTAGTGTTCTCTCTTTTTTAATATGTGTTTTTAAGTGTAATGTACATGCTTCTAAATTAAAACAATGTCATGGTTAGTTGTAGTTTCCAAAGATGGTCATGACAACGTCTTACCTTGGTTTCAACCCCTCAGACCTTCCCCATCTCGCTATCCTTTTACTTCAACCAAAAACTTAAACTTACCCTTGATTTGTTCTTGCACAATCCATTCACCAGCAAGTTCTTTTGGCATTATCTGCAAAATATACCCTGAATCTAAACTTGCTTTTCTCCTCTACCATCACTATTCCATCAAAGTCACCATTTTATACATAAAAATAGAGAATGCAGTAAACCTTTATATGCCCATCACCCAATTCAACAATTTCAACATTTCCCATTTTTATTTCATCTATGCCCCTCATCTCCCCCCTCTGCTTTGTGCACGTCTTAGGCATCAAATTTTCATGCATGAAACTTTTATCTTAATGGATAAGGAATGAATAAAAATATAGTCATATAAATACCTAAGACAATTCATAGTAATATCTTAATGTCATCTAATAGCAGTCTGTGTTGAAACATTCAAAGATGTTTATCTGAATCAGGACGCAAACAAACCCCACCCGTTGTATTTGGTTGACACGTGCCTTAAATATTGTGTAATCTATAACAATCTCTCTCTTTTTCTTTTATTAAAAAAAAGCCATTAATCTGTTGATAAAACCAAGTCATTTATCATGTCCAAGTTTCCCCATTTTGAATTTGGCTGGTTGAGTCTCCTTTGCATCATTCAGTATGTTTCCATGTTCCCCTCTATTGCCTGCTGATCAGAGTTAGAGCTAAAAAGTGTGTATGTGTAATTTGTATCACAATGATAGGAAAGCTAAGCTGTAAAAAAAAATATTGAAAATACGCCTTGAAGAATGAATCTGGCATTTACGATGCCAGCAAACAGTGATGGTGGCGCAGTGTGGCAATAGCGGGAGTGAGGCAGAGATCAGTGAAATGATCAGATTTCAAGATTCCCCATAAAGCTAAAGTTATCATGACAACGTGGTACTGGCATAAAATATAGACAAATGGAATTCAAAACAGAGAGTCCAGAAGTGGACCACCCACATACGACCACTTGATTTATGACAAAGACATCAACACAGTTTAATGGGGAGAATGAAAGAGCTTTTCAATGAATGGAAGCGATCCATTATCCCTATGGAAAAAGGAAATGCTGACCCCTACCTCACACCGTACAAAACCACTAATTCAACATGGGTCACAGACCAAAATGTGCAAGCTGAAAGCATAAAGCGCCTAGAATAAAATATGGGAGAATAATCCATAGCGTCATGACTTTGGGGTTGGGCAAAGGTTTCTTAATTAGGACACACGCAAAAAAGTAACCATAAAAAATTTGATATATCTGACTTCATTAAAATTAAAGACTTTTATCCACTAAAAGACACTTCATGGTTACAATCGCTACATTTCACAAGGTTGGTATCCAGAACATACAAAGAATGCCTGTAAGTCAGTTAGAAAAAGGCACGCATTTCATTAGAAAACATGGACAAAAACACTGAACGGACGCTTTCCAATGGTAGTCAAACATCAATTAGCACTGAGAACGTGTTGATTTTGGGTTGCTTATCATCCCTTCTCCTCAGTCACTGTCCCAAGGTCTACCCCGGCTGCTCAGTGGCCTCTGGCCTCATTGCTTGCTTTTCTAGCTCACCCTCTACACCCCAGAGCCTGGGGAAGGGTTTGATTCTCAGGTGACTTAAGGTTCTGGAGGCCGATGGGGTGTTAGGATACGAGGTGACTTTGCCTGTGACCCTCCTTCCTCACTGTGTCTCCTGTCATCGCCTAGGGAATGACCCTGACCCCACAGCTCCACACGAGACGAGGCTCAGGAGCCACCTCCACATCCTCTCTGCTGTCACAGTCCTACACGGTGGCACCTCCGCTTCGTCTCCCTCCTTCTTTTTTGAGAACCTGTTATTAAACATTGACCAGCACACCTCCCGGCATTTCAAAAATGTTCTTTGAAAGAGGTTTGGGTCAGCTCTCCCCATAGCAGCCCAAGGCGCTGTTAAAACCCAAATCGTATATCGTCACCCCAGGCCCCCAGAAAGGGCACCCAGCATGATCCCATTTATTTAAAGCTCCAAACTGGGAGATGCTTAGGTGTCCATATATGGGGTCCGGCAGAGGTAATGCCACTGAGCGCGGTTGGTAGGGTATGTGACTGTCTCGCACGAGATAGGGAGCAATTTGAACATTTCACCTAATACGTCATAGGGTGTGCCTGAGTGTGCTGTTATGTTACAGAATTACATGCTTATGATTTTGTAATAAAAGAGTTTTATGTAATTAAAAAGGGGCGTTATTTGTGCTGGACCCCTGTATTGGTAGTAATGCAATAAAGAAAAGCAAGGGCATGACTAGGACAGAAGTCAGGACACTGGTGACAACTGGAAGGAGGGAAAGGGTTGCAACGAGGAAGAAGATGCAGGGGACCTCAAGAGCTATAGTTCCGGGGAGGAGGATGGGTGGAGGAGGAAGAGGGTTGCCTCTCTTGAGCGTGGTTGCCTCTCGCGCGCCCCCTACTGGGGACCTGGCCTGCAACCCAGGCCTGTGCCCTGACTGGGAATCAAACTGGCGACCCTTTGCTTCGCAGGTGGGCACTCATTCCCCTGAGCCACACCAGCCAGGGCTATGTCGCTATTTTGAATGGAAAGAAAAGGTTGCTCTGAGACGGCAGTGTGGGAGGCTGGGGAAGGAGGACTCCATGTGGGCCCAGGGCGGCGCAGTTCTGTAGAGCTTCCCGTGGTGGTAGAACGTCCTCCACCCGTGCTGTCCACAGTGGTAGCCATGGGCCACCTCTGGCCACTGAGCAAGCGAAATGTGGCAAGAGTGACTGCGGAACAGAATTGTGAAACTGTAACTTGCTTTACTCTAAATTTAAATAGGCCCACGTGGCTAGTGGCTTCTGTCTTGGATGGCACAGGGCTAGAGGCTTTGAAGAACAGATCAGCCCTGCCCGGTGTGGCTTCGTTGGTTGGAGTATCATCCAGTAAACCGAAAGCCTGCAGGTTTGATCTCCGGTCAGGGCACGTGCGTAGATTGCAGGTTCGGTCCCCAGCCGGGGTGCATGCAAAAGGCAACTGATCAACATATCTCCCTGACACTGATGTTTCTCTCCCTCTCTTCC